TTTGAGATATAGAGGTTTTGGGATAAAATTAGTTGAGATCAACACAGAAAATATATTGAATTTAGGCAGAAAATGCAGGGAAGAAATAAATTTTAAGATAGAGGTTTTCAAGATAAATATGTTTAACATAGATAGGTTTAATTGTATATATTAATACCAACTCAAAAACCAATTTATAGTTAAAACCAAATGAACTGCTTAATTATCAGGCTGTAATATTAAGTTTGCATATATATTCTATAATTAAATCTAGCACAAGATGGCAGCATAACTGGCTATCTCTAAACAAATTATTTATTATTTAATATTTTATTATTTATTATTATTTAGTAGCCATATTATAGCCCAATAATTCAGCAGTTCATTGACTATAAATAACAAATGAAATTTTGTTATTTAACATATAATTAATATTGAATAATAAAAAATATATGAAATTACTATCCATTACAATTAATCATGAGTACAGTACATTATAGTTACTATTTTTATTTTATCAATATAATTATTATATAATTATATAATTATTTCATCAATCAAATACATTATTTTTATTTCTTCATATTTTTTCTTCTTTCATAGAATGTATATCAGAACTAAACAATTTTGATACATATTCTATACACAATGGTGCCAGTATTATCTAAACTAGTTGTTTCTTTTCTTTTTTCAAGTAACTATTATCAGTTTTACAGAAATTTGTTATTGAACTTGTAGGAAAAAATACTGAGAATAGAACTTACTTAGAATCATTTAGAAAAATGAAAAAGTCAGTACAAAGAAGTGTTTTTATTTTATTGTTTGTAGATCATTTCATTATATTTTTTAATCTAATAATTTTTTTAATAACTTGAAAACATATATAATTATTTGTAATGAAATTTTAACAAATGAAAGCCATTTTAAATTTTGTAGTTTTAAGTCCAACAAACAAATCATAAAAATATATAAACTATCACTTTTTTCAATTTATAAATGAGCCTTAAAAACTGTTGGTAGTAATGTTTTTTTGAGTTTTATAGTTTTTAGTTTTTAATAATTATTAATATAAAATGAATTTAATCATTTTTGAATCTTTCAATTAGTTGGTTTTTTTAATTGTGGATTTTATATTGCATGTATTAAGACAATGTTACACTATGTGACGATGACAATATATCAATATCATATATGTGACAATGACGAAGGGCCTCCCTATACTTCGGCACCACATGACCGAAGGGTTGACATCGCGTTGGCGAAGATCACAATGACAGGTTTCATCAGGACTGACACCACTGTGTCTTCACGGCTAGACACAGAAACCGTTTTGTTCGGGCGTGTGAGCGGTTGTGTATGTGAGCGATCAGAGTTGAGATAGAAGGAGAGACAGAGCACCGGAAGTGACCTACTCATAGACGCTTTAACTTAACAACTGTTTAATGGTTAACGATAGGCTATACATTAGGGCTGCTGTTAGATACATTTCTTGATTTGATAAGTATTAGATATTAAGATATGACCCGATTTGAGAGAGAGAGTTTACAGAAGTTCACGTGGGGATAATTACCTTGTATGAAATCACAAAAGAAGACAGTTCTGGACTCAGAAGACAGAAGACAGTTCTTATTTCCACAGTTATTAGGCGAGGAAATATCCAAAGGCGAGGCACAGGGATAACTTGAGTGGTCCGATCGAGGAACTGGTGACGACTGCCCCTTTGTTGTATGTTTTTCATGTTGGATTGTTGAAACGGAGATATTAGGTCGAAGGTGCTGAGAAAGGTGCTGAGAAAGCGTCGTTATTACGCCTGAGAACTTAGCAGATGTTAACTCCCAGGTGTAAAAGTTGACAGTTATCGAATGAAAGTATATCTACAATGTGAAATGATATAAACACACGAAAAGTCCGAATTCGGATCCTCACATTTTTGAATCTTTCAATTAGTTGGTTTTTTTAATTGTGGATTTTATATTGCATGTATTAAGACAATGTTACACTATGTGACGATGACAATATATAAATATCATATATATATCATAATTTTAGGCATATAACCCACAGTGATATATTTATGAAGATAATATTTATAGGATAAGAAGTGGAAGTGGCCAGAGATGGTCTGCAGTTTATCTCTGATTCTGTTTAAATGGCCACAGATTGATTACTTTGAAGATCTAGATATAAATAATCTTAGATATATCTTAGATAATCTAGATATAAATGGTCTAGATTAATATACAGTCCAAGATGTGAAAATGTCACTAGAAATAATCAATTAGGGAATACATAAACTTTTTTAATCATTCATTCACTTTCTATCATTACAACATATTGCAATCTAGATATAAATAGTTGTATGGATATGGCTCCTTAAACTCTTTTGGTGCTTCTTTCCCTTGTTTTTGGCTCTTTTTTGACCTGTGGATCTTAAGAAGAGTTTTTTCTATACCAATTGTTTTGTTGACTCACAACAGGGTTGACTGGGAGTGAGAGACTTGGACTTAGCATATCTAGAATTTATTGCCCACAAAAATTCTTTCAGGGCTGTGGATTTGCTAATAAAACACATTTCTTATTTATTGTTTTTTTAAATAAACAATGTATTTTCTGTGTACTGCTTCAATAAACAGATGTTTTAGAATAGGTTTTCCATAAAGAGATGTTTTTCTTGTATGTTTTCAAAATTATTCATGGTCCTGCAAATTAATGAGTTATTTTTATTAACCTTTTAATTAATCAACTGAGTTGTAATAAATACATTTTGCACTTTGTTTCACTAAATTTAATAAATGGCATGTTTTAAAACCCTTGTGTATGGTGATTAAGATTATCAGCACAAAACCTTTCTCACTAATTTCTAGCCTTATTAACTGGAGTACAAACGTTTTCGGCCTTCTTAATAGGCCTTCCTTGGGTACACTGTGGAGCGTCAGTTAGAAGAAGTTTAAATGCTGCCAATGTTTACCCAGGTATCGTCTTACCAGTGACGTCATCGTCGATGATAGGTATACGATACCAAGGGCGAAAAATACATACTTTTGGTAAAGAAGGGAGGTGTGCAGATAGGATACTTGCTAAAGTTGGGGAAAAAGATTTTAGAGTAAGCGCGCTACTTACAGGAGATGCACAATCACCAC